GTCCCCACAAACAGTTGTGGATTGAAGTGACCAATTATTTATTTTGGAGGAATTATTACCCTGGAAAAGCAATCTGCCATTCGACTAACAACCAGGTCCTACTTACTGCTGGTAAACAGAGGCGCGCGTGTGAGGAATAAGGAAACTTGCCCAATGTTTTGCCCTAACCCACCCGGGAATCAAACCCGGGTGCTCTCACTTGCGAGGCAAGTGCTCTAACCACTGAGCTACAGGACGATACACATTTCTTCACTCGGAGAAATTGTGGGATGTGGAATTGGTTCAGAGTCAACTGGTTTCAAGAGTGAAGTGGTTAGTGATATGAGGCTAGAGGTATGAAGGGGGGGTGAGGGAGATAACGGTGTGATTAGGAGAACGTCTTTACGCAGAGGAGGAGAATGTGGAACTCACTGCCAGGAGCTGTGGTTGAACCAAAAAGCATAACTGTATTTAAGAGGAATTTCTTTTTTTTTTGGTCAGCCGGAGGTCAGATAAATGCGGAAATCCAACCCAACTGAGAATTCCATCCCTCCCACCTATACACGGAGATCCCAGGGCTAAAGGGTTTAGAGTAAACTTGATGCAGGAGTGTGGGAGAGGCGATTAGAAGGGTGTGGGAGAGGGGAATAGAGGGGTGTTGAAGAGGGGGATAGAGGGGTGTGGGAGAGGGGGATAGAGGGGTGTGGGAGAGGGGGAAATAGAGGGGTGTGGGAGAGGGGAATAGAGGGGTGTGGGAGAGGGGGATAGAGGGGTGTGGGAGAGGGGGATAGAGGGTGTGGGAGGGGGATAGAGGGGTGTGGGAGAGGGGGATAGAGGGGTGTGGGAGAGGGGAATAGAGGGGTGTGGGAGAGGGAATAGAGGGTGTGGGAGAGGGGGATAGAGGGGTGGGAGAGGGGGATAGAGGTGTGGAGAGGGGGATAGAGGGTGTGGGAGAGGGGGATAGAGGGGTGTGGGAGAGGGGGATAGAGGGGTGTGGGAGGGGGATAGAGGGGTGTGGGGAGAGGGGAATAGAGGGTGTGGGAGAGGGGATAGAGGGGTGTGGGAGGGGAAATAGAGGGTGTGGGAGAGGGGATAGAGGGGTGTGGGGAGAGGGGAATAGAGGGGGTGTGGGGAGAGGGAATAGAGGGGTGGGAGAGAGGGGATAGAGGGGTGTGGGAGAGGGGAATAGAGGGTGTG